TTCGCTGATCACCATTGGAATTTGGTTACAGCCCGAGTAGGCGTCCGTAAATGACAAAATTTGTAGTCGGTCGAGTTACCGATCAGAATATCAATGTTAGGTAAAGGAAAAGCATATTTGGGACATGTTCGATTAAGATTAGTATAATCAACACACATTCTCCATTTTCCATTATTCTTTTTTACAAGTACAACATTTGAGAGTCAGGTTGAATACCGAGCCTCAGAAATAAAATTTGCCTCTAGGAGGTTATTTACATCTTTTTCAGAAGCCTCCTCTTTTTCGGGAGACTGCCTACGCCTATGTTGTACTACTGTCCTAGCGGTTGGATCAACGGCGAGTCAGTGATAGGAGCCCTCAGGGTCGAGTCCGAGCATCTCCACATCACTCCATGCAAACAAGTTCGTGTTCTCCCTTAAGCAAGCTTCGAGTTGCTTCCTCTCCAGGTCGGGGAGTCTAGTACCAATCTTCACGCCTTTGTGAGGGACTTCACCGAGGGGGACGAACTCGAAGTCTCCATCTAGGATGGGTCAGAGAGGATCATGTTCGCCATTGGAGGCTTCGACTTCATCTTTGTAAAAGTGAGTGTCAATGGAGATGGAGTCATCCTTTGGTGGAGCCTTTTGGTCTTTGATCCGAGCTGGCTTCGATACAGGTCGAGTAGTGGTTGCTTTTTTGGCGGGTCGCGCTCTAGTGTCAACCATGCTATGTCCTTTGGAGGCTGCGTGAAAACATCTCTACGCTGCTGAGATGTCTCCATGGATGGTGGTGACGCGACCACTTCTGGTGTAGAAATGCATTTTCAGATGGACGGTGGAGGGTACAATGGTTATTTCGGCCAATGTCGGTCTCCCCAAGATGAAATTATAGAGAGACGGGCATTCGATCACCACAGAAATCGCACCTTGACTTGTAGGGATGCAGTTTCTACCCCGAAGGTGACAAAGAGCTCCATGTAGCCCCACAAATTGGAGGTCGAGCCGTTGAATCCTTGCAGGTAGGCCTCACGTATGGTGACAGATGGGCATCGTCGAGCTGTAGGATTCTAAACAAATGATTGTACATGACGTTGCTAAAACTCCCCTCGTCAAACAAAATATGATGTACGTCAAAGTTGGCCATCCTTGCCCTCACCACAGAGGAATGCTCGAGTTCAGGGCTCCACCAGTCATCTTCTCTAGGTAAAAAATGATTGGTTCAGATTTTCCTTTGAACCTTTTGAGCGTTACAGCCTGGATCGGGGCTGCATCCACCAACTCATCGAGCTTCCTCTTTTCTGAGTTCATTGAGATGTCGTTGAATCCCCCGTCAGATATGACCATGGCGGAGGGGAATTTCTCCCATCTACTGTGCACGGAAAAGGGTTCATCCTCGTGGCTATCAGAGACGTAGAAGTCTTCCAGCCTTATCACAGAGAAAGCCACCTGTACGGGGCCCGATTCATCAGACGGTCGGGTTTCTTCCTCGAATTCTTTTTCCTCGTAGGTGTCTCGGCGATGAGAATCGTTGTGTCTGTGCTACCCAAGTCTCCCACCATTAATGAGAGTATCAATAACATCCTTGAGGTTGACAAAGTCTTCCATCAAGTGCCCGTGGCTACAATGGTACTGACAATATTTTGTTCGGACAACCCCTGGCTTTGTAGGAGCGGGTCGAGGACGTCTGACACCTCCGTCCTTGAACTAAGTGTTAGAGCACTTTGTAAGGATATGATCGCGGAAAGTGGTCAGTGGGGTATACTTTGTCAACCGCCCTGCTCGTCCTCTATGCTCGCGGGGATCGCGGGGTTTCTCTTCCCTTATCTTCTCCCCAGTCTGTCGAGAAGGGACCACGTCCTGGTGCCGTAGGATGTTAGATGGTCAGCGGTTCCTCGAATCGCAGGCTTTATTGGCCGCTTCTTTCTCCTTGTAGTTCATGCATGCCCAGTCCTTTTCGAGGAGAGCGTCGAAAGACCTGAGGGGATCAATGCCGACGACCTTCCTAAATTATGTGCTCGGAAGGAGTCCTCTTTCGAGCAGTTACCTTTTCATGTGATCGGTGCACGGGACAGGAATGGCCTCGCGATTGAACCGATCAATGTATTCCATGAGGGTCTTGTTGCTTCTCTAGATGATTGCCTCAAGGGCAGCCTCCGTCTACGTATGTAGATGAGACGCAGTGAAGGAGCTGATGAACTGGTTCCTGAGGCTCCTCTAGGAGGTGATAGACCTGGGGGAGAGGTTCTTGTACCAGTCCATGGTTGTCTTTCTCTAGGTCGTAGGGAACAATCGGTATTTAATTGGCCCCCCGACATTGTGGTAATGGAGCATTGCTTCAAACCCGTCGATATGGTCGACAGGGTCTGCAATACTTTCATACTCCTTTAGTAAAGGAGGCTTCTCCATTCCCCTAGGAATGAGAGCCTCCATGATTGCTTGGGAGATTGGACCGCGAGGGTGATGTTCTCCACTTCTGTCTGGAGAGAAGGAAGGGGGTCGATTGTAATGGTGGTCGTTGTGATGTCCTTGGCCGTAGAGAGGATCCCTTGGCCGAGGCTGTCCTTTGTTGTTTCCCCTGTTTCTGTTGTTTCCAGGAGATCGTCATTCCCTCATGGCGGAGTGTGACCCGTCTTCCCGTAGCTTCGGGATGGCTCCTCTCCAACGCAGGACGTCGACCAGCTCGTCACGGAGAAAGGATGCACGAGATATCCTGCATACATCTCTGCGAGGGAGATTGGGGAAAGTCTTCATTGTGCCGGGGAGGAGGAGTGTCAGGTCTTCTATGCCTTCTAGGGGCCCGACGAGTTTGCTCGAGCACTCTCAGCCGTTCACCCTATGAGAAGCTCATATAGTTGGTTTGGTTGATAACCGCGAACAAGGCTCTGGTCGTGGCGTCTGCACCAGTTAGAACGCGGACCTCCTGTAATACATTTGGTTCGTAATTGTGGGGAGGATGATAGTCTTCATCACGCGGTTGCGAGCGTGATGATGAAGAGGCAGTCAGTCGTCTTTGTAGTTTTGCTCGAGATCGGGCATGTTGATGTCATTGCCGGTATTGTTGTTGTCGTCACTGTTGTCGCCGAAGTTGTTGTTGTTGTTGGGGTCGACGAGGTGAGCGTTTCGGTTATTATCCACAGTTTCGTCGGCCATGACAATCGTACAATTTAATGAAAAGTTGCTTTGGTCTTGAGAGGAAGACAAAAAAAGTTGTTTCCCATATACGGCGCCACTGATCGTACCTGACCAGAAGGGATTGTCAAAGCCTTTAAGCTTTGAGTCGAGCAGAGTTGAATGTGAAGTGAGGGTACCTACAAGACACTCTGATGCCAAAGTAAGTTTCAGAACGAGTGCTAGCAAATATGAGAGTGAGTGAGTAATTATGAATACCTGACTCTCTCAAGTGAGAGGGTATTTATAGCCCCCAGCGTTGGACCAAGGTCTTCAAAGATGGACCACAATGAGGCCCAACAACAAAGACTGTCAGAGTTTACGTGTGTATGTAGTCTAACACGTAGCGTCCTCCCTAGTCAACTTCCCCGAGAAAGCAGGAGTTAGACCCGTTACTCCCAGAGGACACGATGACGATGATGTGGACACGTGTGCTACATCCTCCTAGCGGACACATGGGGAAATGCCCAACGGTTCTTAAATTGGGCTGCATGCTTTTGGGCCTTTGATAAAGACACTGGATTGGACCTCCCCAAAAATGGGGCAAGTGTCGATCCAACCCAGGACACATATCATGACTTAATTAATGTATTTTCAATATTTACTTAATTTTGATTTTTTTATGAAATATCTTGATCGTCAAATTTTATTTTTTTAAGAAAAAAATTACACTAGTTTTATATAAAGACTCTCACAAATATTTTATCTGCAAGTTGGTTACTAAATAAAAAATAATAAACTCTTGCATTTAAAAACTACAGTATTTACAATTAGGGGCAATAAAATGGCTCCGGTCCGTCGAACATGTCTGTTTCGTCTGCATTTTTTTTGTAGAGCAGACTAAATTTTTAGATTCGTATTCTGTACTATGTCTGTCTCATCCTGTTCTTTTTTTTGCGTGTTTTTACAGATGCAGACATTAATATAAAAAAATTTAATTTTCAGACTTAAAATATGTTCTTCGCGTGTCCACCCTATTCCGTATTAATTTTATTGTAAGACGGAAAAAGATTTTAGAATCATATCCTCGATAAAGTCTGATCCGCTTTACCCCATTTTTTGTAAGCTTTTGCATAACATAAATACTTGTTTGCCACCCTTAACTACAATTATTGTAAATTATAGATGTCATCCAAAAAATTTCAAACTTAATTAATATATCCTGACCCGTTATGTAATGTTCTTATATTATTTTTGTTTATAAAAATATATTATTGTAGTTAATTGATTTATCTCTTCTTTAATACAAAGATAACTTTTCAACAACAAAATATAATGTAAGTTTAAATATTATTCATTTTTGTTTGATTATTTTTTATACAAATTTAACTTTAACAACACAATTTTTTATATATTTATTAGTATTTTAAAAAAAAAAAAAAAAAAAATATATATATATATATATATATATATATATATATATATATATATATATATATATATATATATATATATATATATATATATATATATATATATATATATATATATATATATATATATATATATATATATATATATATATATATATATATATATATATATATATATATATATATATATATATATATATATATATATATATATATATATATATATATATATATATATATATAACATAAATATTAAAATTTAAATAAATACAAATAAAAGAAATATGAATCTTAAACTGAAATAAATAAGTTAAACAGACATTATACATCATTACACCCGATAAAATGTATATGTAACATAGAACAATAGAAAAAGGAAAAACATGAGTTTTCCGCTACTAAATATAATTATACAAGAAATGTTTTGTTTATATAATAATAATACTCCATGATATTCTTGATCCTTATTTCATTAGTAATTTCATAAGAGATCAGTTACCACAGGTCTAGGAGAATCGGGTATCAATTCTTGATTCCCATACCACGTTAGAAACATGTCATTTTCATATAAAATAGATGAGATATGAGCATCAATGTCTCGTTCGAGAGAAAAATCATGTTGAATTTGCTTTAAACTTGATCCATAATTCTCATTCTCGAATTGCGTCATCGTCATAGATTGTTCTTGAGACGATAAATGGTTTTGTGTTGCTTCAACAAAAGGGTAATCATCAATTTGTTTTGAAGATGATGAAATGTTCATGACATTAGCTTCATTGTTGCCAACAATGTTGTTGTCTTGTGTTTGATTTGGAATGGCAAACGAATTGATCACATAAGAGAACTCACCATTAGTGGATGGAGAAGAATTCATCGATGGATATACATTAGTATTTGGTGGTTGTTCTCTAAAGGAGGTAAACCTTTCAAGTCTTGGATCATACGTTTTCTTTTCACAACCACGCTTCTTATAGATTTTGCTGATAACCCATTCAACCTATAAAAAAAGGTAAACACACAATGTTAGAAGAAAAATTTCATTTTTAAAAGAAATGATATTTGTCAAAATACACACAAAAAATCACATAAAATTAGAGGTATAAAAGAAGAAGAAAAAAATGAAAATAATATATTGAAACATTACCATTCCTCTCTTTAATAAAATATCCTTAGAGAGTGTGCTACCCTCCAATCTGTATTCCTGCATGATCCAACTAGTTTTTACACCACTTGGAACTCTTCCTTGATAGAAAACCAATGTTTTCTTCATCCCAATCAATACATTTTTATCGTAAATTTCCTTGTCTCTTCCTGTCGCCTTCCAATAACCAGCATTAGTAGCTCTATTTGTTCTTTGACCACTTAAATATTTTTTGTCCCTCACACAAAAATAATACCATTCTGTATCTCCCATTTTTGCCAACTCTAAAAAATAAAAATAAAAACGACCAAAATATTATTAAGCATTGAAACACACATGATATTCAACAGTGACACATAAATATTATAATAATAATAATAATAATAATAATAATAATTTGAAAAAATAAAATAATTAAATTTTATTTCATTTATTAATATTAAATCGGTGCAGATTCTAATACTTTATAATTTATTGTTGCTGTATATTAATTTTGAGAAAATATATAATATATCTGGAGTGCAGTTTTTCGAATCCATAGTAGTAATATAATATAGTAACAACTAACATTAATCTGTAATAAAAAACAACATTGAAATCACCTGGCAAGTCCCATGGTTCACACTTATTCATATCAACTTCAGCAATAGCTATGGTAGAGAAACTATTGTCGTCAACCTTCTTGACAAGGTATTGATTTATGAGTTCTACGTCGGTAGGATGGAATCGAAAACCAGCAGGAAATTCAATCTTTTTGCTATCCATTTTTGGTTCGGAAACAATACCATTTGATCTCATCCTACGCCAAGGAAATAATGTTAAAGACAAGAGAACATGATTCACAATTAAAGTGAAGTTATAAAATAAATAATAGGATATTAACCTATCAATGTTTGAAAATGGAGCAAGATGTAGGATGGATTTTTTTCTTTTGAAAGTATTGAAGGTATTGAGTTGAAAGAACATAATACTCCTTAAATACTGATCTTTTAGGGATGCATAATGTGGTTCAATAAAAAACTTAGGGAGGATTCAATGTTTCATGTTTTAATTTGTCTGTATTATATGATGATGTGTATAGTTTAATATGCCAAAAATTGAAAGGTGAAAATTGTGAAATGATGATTTTTGGAATTGTCTAAATTAACATAGTCGGTTATGTAATTAAGATCAGAAAATATTAATTAAAAATACATAATTTAATTTTTTATATAATTTCAAATATTGAGATTTAATTAGGATCGTTTGATCTTAATCAAATAGATCTTAATGTTATAAATGCATGACAACTAGAATATTGAAAAGTCGGTTTGAAATACCTAAAAGCGCAAACGGTTAAATTTTGAGTTTTAATACACTTTTATTCAAACTAAAGCGTAAACGGTTAAATTTTGAGTTTTAATACACTTTTATTCAAACAATATTTATTATGATTTAATCAAGATGATGTTTTAGATGATAAAAGTCCTACCGACCAAATTGTCGTTTATTGAAAAATAGTCTATAATTTAATTGAAATGTATTTTTTTTATACATATATCTAAAATATAATAGTTTTTAATTTGTTTGAAGTGAATTAATGTGATGAATATCCAATTACGCTCGAGCTCATAGAAAGAAAATGTATCATTCATTAAATTTTATTTAAACTCTAAACTAAACATAATATATATTGTCTAATGAGAAATTATATATCTTTATATAAAAATTATATCGTTAATCAATCATAATTCAAATTATTAAAATAATCATATAAATATTAATTTAATTGCTTTAAAAAGTAACATATATAATTAGTTGTGTATCCATTATAAAATCTCATATATCTTTATGCGTAATTTTCAACCATTTACATATAACCTATTTAGGGGCTATTTGTTTTTGCTTTAAAAAATATAACTTTTATGTATTTAAAAATTTTAATAAAATGTTTTCTAAACAAAATTGTAAAATTTATTTTTTAAAAAAAAATATGTAATACTATGAAAATCATTTTAAAAAACTAAAATAAATGGTTTTTAACTAACAAACAAATTTTAGTTTAAGAGGGATAAAGGTAATGACTAATATATCTTTATAATCGGAGTCATATTTAAATCACTATTTTAAAATGATATTAATTAGTGTAAAATTTTTTACATTATCAGTGCATCACAACTACACTAATATTATTTAATAAATAATTAAAATAAAATTAAATATAATTTATAATTTAACGGTCATAATTCATTGATGGTGTAAAATTTCTTTATATTATCGATGTATTTCAATTAAATTCTTTTAAAATATATGACCTAGTTTTTTTTTTTGCCAACTCTTATATTTATTTACTCTCTCAATTGTTTATTATAACAGTCTTCTACAAATTTCAAAATCTCAAATATTAATAAAAAATAGTATGATATTAAATTTTTCAAAATAATAATATTATTTTTATATATTTATTCTTATAAATATATTTTTATAAAGAAATTATGTACGTTAAGTTTTTTAATATTATTTCATTTAGTGTATTTTTTTATAAATAAGTCATTAATGCTTATTAAGTTTTATATATATATATATATATATATATATATATATATATATATATATATATATATATATATATATATATATATATATATATATATATATATATATATATATATATATATATATATATATATAAAGAGTGTTTCCAAATAAATAAGATTGTAGGACAAACCAATTATATGTAACACCATTAAAAGTTATTTAATAAATTAAGAATGAACACTCATTTTAGTCTCTTTCAAAAATTACAGAATTTAAATTAGTCTTCCACAAAAAAAAAGAATTTGATTTAATTCTTTACAAAATTTTTTGAATCCATATTGAGGTTTAAATAGGATCGTTTGATTAAAAATACATAATTTAATTTTTATATAATTTCAAATATTGAGGTTTAATTAGGATCGTTTGATCTTAATCAAATAGACCTTAATGTTATAAATGCATGACAATTAGAGTATTGAAAAGTCAGTTTGAAATACCTAAAAGCGCAAACGGTTAAATTTTAAGTTTTAATACACTTTTATTTAAGCAATATTTATCATGATTTAATCAAAATAATGTTTTAGATAATAAAAGTCCTACCGACCAAATTGTCGTTTATTGATAAAGAGTCCATAATTTAATTAAAATGTATTTTTTTATATATATATATATCTAAAATATAATAGTTTTTAATTTATTTGAAGTGAATTAATGTGATGAATATCCAATCACGATCTCATCCAAAGAAAATTTATCATCCATTAGATTTTATTTAAACTCTAAATTAAACATAATATATATTGTCTAATGCGGAATTATATATCTGTATATAAAAATTATATCGTTAATTAATCATAATTCAAATTATTAAAATAATCATATAAATATTAATTTAATTGCTTTAAAAAGTAACATATATAATTAGTTGTGTATCCATTATAAAATCTCATATATTTCTATGCGTAATTTTCAACCATTTACATATAACCTATTTAGGGGCTATTTATTTTTGCTTTAAAAAATATAACTTTTATATATTTAAAAATTTTAATAAAATGTTTTTTAAACAAAATTGTAAAATTTATTTTAAAAAAATATGTAATACTATGAAAATCATTTAAAAAAAAAACAAAATTGTAAAATTTATTTTAAAAAAATATGTAATACTATGAAAATCATTTTAAAAATCTAAAACAAATGGTTTTTAACTAACAAACAAATTTTAGTTTAAGAGCGGTAAAAGGTAATGACTAATTTATCTTTATATTCCTGGAGTCATATTTAAATCAGCATTTTAAAATGATATTAATTACTATGTATTGTTACTGTAAAAAATTTTACACTATCGGAGCATCACAACCACACTAATGTTATTTAATAAATAATTAAAATTAAATTAAATATAATTTATAATCTAACGATCATAATTCATTGATGGTGTAAAACTTTTTTATATTATCGATGTATTTCAATTAAATTCTTTTAAAATATATGATCTAATTTTTTTTGCCAACTTTTATTTCAATTAAATCCCTTATATGGTGTAGAAGACTGTTATAAGGGATTAATGCTATATTTTTAATAAGTCATTAATAAGGGATTAAATAAAAAATAAAAAATAGGCGATTCAATTATGGTTTAAAAATAGAAAAAAAATCAATTTAAAATAAATATTAAAAAAATATATATAATCCAGTTGAATTTTATAAGGGATTAAATAAAAAAAATTTAAAAATGAATTTAAATTCTGTAGTTTTTTAGAAGGATCAAAATGGAATTTCACTCATAAATAAAATAGGAAATAATAAAAATAAATATGGAAGAAAAATGTTTTTTTTCATTGTCATATTTTAAGTTTATTGTCATGGCTTCTAAGATTATATGTTTTTTTACAAAAAAAAATAAAATCTCACAAATTTAGATTATTTTCACCGAATAGTACATTTTTATAAGCTAATTCCGGCAATTATAGACTTATAGTATAGTATTTATATAATATTCTTATGTCTCACAGTCTTACCCGTATTATCTTAATTGAAAATAAATAAATATTAACTCATGCCATTTTACATTTAGTTCAACCTTAATTTTATCAAATTCTACAAACTCAATCGACGAATGTATTCACTATTAGCCGTCAACTAGTTTATAAGTTATCAACTATAGCCTTGACCTCTATAAGTTTAATTATTAGTAATCTTTTTTCTTTCAAATTGACTCATGTCAATACCCAATGGTACAAAATGAAATGGCTATTAGCAACCAGCTCACTAAAACTTTTGTTAGAAAATACAAATGAATACAATTAAAAATTAGAAGAAAAAAATAAGTACATTGCAATTCAACTTAGACGAGAAAGTCTTATAATGACTAAAAAATATGATTTGGATTGGCCAAATGACCCAACAAGACTGCTCTAACACCAAAGACTCAAACCAAAATACTTATTATAACACCTCCAGCCTTTAAATCAATTGAGGCAGAAAGTTCAAAACCCTTGTCTTTCTAAATTTTTTTTAAAGAATAATTAAATCCTACGTTATGCCTTTAAATCTTTGCTCTTCTTTGTTGTTATAAATTTTAAGATTGTCACATTTGCAAACATATAAGAGATACATATTTATGATAACAAATATCCAACAAACAAAGTTCAAAATCACAATCCAATTATATATGGATCTATGGACCGAACTGAAAAAGTCCAAAAACCTGAAATCACTATTCACCGTACGGACAATACTATTCATTTGTTCGGGTGGTACTATTCATTCGTATGGGCGGTACTATTCACCGATCAATTTTTTTTCTTGATTTCTATTTATTGACTTTTCGTCCGACTTTCTAAAACATCTGATTTTCGCGGTAAATGCAATCTCTAAAATATGTTTTCTTTCTCTTCATCAACAAAGATTTTAAGGCACATTTACAACAATCTCCATCTTGACTTTAAACCGTGTTGATACCAAATTAACAATCAACAACATTGTTGCTCTCTACCAAATTGAAACTCTAATCAATAACTTTGATCAAATTCAAGCAACCCTTGAATCTTGATATCGCAACTTGCATTGACTTGTTTTCAATTACCCTTTTCTACCTAGGTAATTTAACAAGTCTACAAGTATGATTTTTCAACCACCCTTGACTCCACATGTTTTCAAATGCCTCCCTGAAGGTTTTTCTTCTTTTATTTTGCAGTCCTTCAGCCACATTTAAAACATAATATCCAAGGCTAGCATAACCTTCCCTTTGAGATGTTACAATAACCCTCCTTACCATAT